ATGGGTAAGATTATCGTGAAGGTTTTTTTTTTTCTCCTGCGGTCAGGTGTTAATATTTTTAATAGTTTGTAAGTATTTACAAACTTAAAAAGACACCTAAAAAACCACCAGCAGCTGCTACAATGTGTTTGCAAATCCTCCCCCCCCCCCCCCCACCCAAACGGTATCAAAGAGACCCCCCTCCCTGCCCCCATGCTGCCTATACCTTTCCTCCATTCATAGTCATCTTCCTCTGCTTCTGTCAGTTCGTGTGTCATCACTGGTGTTCTCCTTTTCATTTGGGTCTTCCCTCCATTCAAGCTGCTTTTCCGTACAAATGTGTTCCAGAGGAGATTCATGAGTGATGTGTTGCTCTTCTGCCATTTATCTGTGACATGGCATCAAAAAGGACCCACCTAATGCTCTCATAACAGACGCAAAACCCCAAAGAAGCATCTGTAAAACATTATGCATTTATTTGACCGACTGAAATGCCAATTAGTCCAAATATATCAGTTTTTCAAATAAGCTGTTATTTACACCTGGTGATTATTCTCTTGTGGCCCCACCAGCTGCTTACTGAAAGCCAAATAAAACCTATGAAACACTATACATTATGTCGTACTTCTTGTTTTAGGGTTGAAACTCAGTGTGGGCCCTGTTAGTACACATGTGTATTCAGTGTTTTGTAGAAAAGCAACAAAGGGAAGTTACTACCAGAGTGGTCTCAAGTCTGCATTTGTATCAAAAGTGGCGTTATAACCTGCATCGGTTTCCTTGAAGTGACAAGCCGTGTGTTTGCTCTTCTCCCTCTGTCAATTTCTATTTTGGGAGACTTCCATTTGTTTTTTTTCCTCCTTAAGTTGCCTCTCTGAATTTCCTTTCCAGGTTGATGCGATAAAGGAAAAGGTGAAAGTCGAATCCATTTTCTAAACATTCTTTTTGACCCCCCCCCCCTCTCCTCCGTCCTGTAGCCTGTAGTTTGGACGAGTGAAATTAGCCGTTACTGCATGACCCATCTCCCCCTCCTCCCCATGTCACTCTGCCGCTTCTGATTGCAAACTCCACATCTCCACTGGACCACCTACCGACCCACGCGACTCCAGAGCGAGGCTCTTCACACCCCTCCCTCGGGGCTCTGCTGGCTTCGTGCTGCTGTCATTGATTCGCTCTCAACGGCTGTTGAATTGCCAAAATCTGCTGTGTTTTAAGATGCAAAAACTCCATTACATCTAATATATCAGTAATGAATGGCTGTAGGATCCACCTCCTGAGAAAAGAACGTAGAGGCCGCTGTAAAAATGGGGGCACGTTGCAGCCATGTGCCCAGGCCGAGAGTTTATTGGCGGCAAACTGCTGCGGCGAGAGTGAACTGAGCCACCTGAGCAGTCAGCTGATAAGTTCCATCACGGTGCTCCTCCCCAAACCCGCCGAGCCAGCAGGCCCGCCGCGTGAAGAGCGCCCCTCTGCCAGACCCGTAGAGGAGTTCTATTGTTAAGCCGTCTCGTCCCAGCGCTCAGCTGCAGTCTGCTGCTCGCGTCCACCTCACTTGATACGGGGAGGGGGGTCACTTCCGGGGATCGCGTTTCCCCCCCCTCGTAGACATTTGGCAGGGAGTTTCTCGGCATAACAAATGAATAATTCTTAATTGTGGTGGCGTTCTCTGCATTTGGACCGTGGAGCAGTAGCATAGACTGCAGCTAAGTGTAACCCCTGTTTTCATTAATAGAAGAGCCATTTCTGTTTTTTTTTTAATGAAGGAACATTTTGACAGTTATTTTCCTCCATATTTGTCCGGACTACAGAGTTTATTTCAGTGCCGTAGAGGAACACAGATGATACAAATCATCAACATTAGTACAGTATTAGAAGTATTTTTACAGTAGATACTGTAAATGTGGTCTTTTGAGCAAATAATGCATTATATATGTAATCTTTGGAGGGGGGGGCATGTAGTGACATTTAGTGCGACCAGCATGCATTTCCTCCTCGGTAGCATCGGCCTCCGCAGCATTCAGGCTAGGAGACGTTGTTGTTGGCTGTGCCTGCTTCTGGAAACCTAAAATGTGGCTGAAAAGAAAACGTCCACCCCCCCCCTCGCCCCCCCGCCCATGCTCTCTGCTTCTGTCTCCTTTCTTTTTTTCTCTCTCTCATGCACTCTTCAAGAAGAAAATAACTCCACTGCCGCTTCAGCATGTCTCTGAACCCTTCTCTTCTGAAAGGACACGGGAGCCCGTCTTTGCTCAGGGCAGCCTGCTTAACTAGCTGTTCAGTGGTAGTGGTAGTAGACCAGCCGGTATGTAGAGAACCAGACCCCCTGCAGCGTTCAGCCGTGTCCTTTTTTTTTTTTCTTTTTTTTTTAGCGGATTCTTCCTGCTCGTGCTGCACTCTGCCATAGCTGGTAGTAACTTGTGGAGCTTTTAATGCTGCCTGCTTAATAACCCCTTTGGATCCCGTTTAGTCCTTTTCCCGCCATTGTCTGCCTGCGGGCTGCTTTGCAAATAACTAAAACACCGGCAGCACAGCGAGGCAACTCTGGAGGCTCCCGCGTGCTTCCTGTGGCTGTTCGTACGCGGGAAGCACACACTTCTTTCTAAAATGAGCTATTGGTGACCTTTTTTTCCTAAATGGAAAAGACCAAATAGGCAAAACGGGACAACACATGTTTTCACAATGTTTATTCTTACTTTCAAGTATCTGTAACAGTTTGCACAGAAAAAAATATTATTTATATTTTAAAAATGACCGCTAGGTATTGTTGATCAGTTAATTGCTGTTATCTTCACATATTTGATCTTAATTTAATATCCTACGGTTTACTTTACAAAACCATTCTTTTATGATGTCCCCGTCCTACGGCTGGTTCCTATAAACCATATCCATTAGCTAGTGGTCAGATTAGTCAATAATGAACATATTTTCAACACAATACTGTACAAATGCAGGTAAATGTTCAGTGCATTTTCAATAAATACATGCAGATATCATTTGTTTTCATTCTTGTAACCCCAATATTTACCAGAAAAGTTTAAAAAAAAAACCTACGAATGAGCATTTCTTTGAGTGCTCTAGATCTCCCACGACGTCTGAGGTTGAGAGTGAAGTTTGTATCAAAATGTGATGCCGTCCGATGAGAAATCCAGTCGTGTCTTCTTGGTCGCCGCTTTTTACCTTTTTTTTTAAAAAAATGTTTGTGTTCTGCTCAGAGGGCTTAGTAAGTCCACGTGTACTGGTGAGGGGTCGGTTCTCTACATACTTTAACACTTCCAACTTGTTAGAGTAGATGATTTGGGTGGCTGGATGGTGGGACCATTATTGCCCAGTCGCTGTTTGTCCCCCCCCCTCCCCCTCCCCAATCCCTAATCCGCTCCACTAAGAGGTGGGTGTCTATCTGATAGACGGTTGTAGCCAAGCCCAATAGAGTAACCAGTAGCCCCCCAACCCGCTAGCAAGGCCTGCCTCCTGCAGCCTGTTAATTTAAGACTGGACTGTCTCCGCCTGTCAGGAATGGTCCCATCCGTCAGCCAGTGAAATAAGCCAGAGGTCAGTTCTTCCTGTTCTTTTTGTCAACCAAGCAGGCGTCTCTTGAAGAGCGCCGTCGGGCCCCGGTGGTGCAACCAGAGTCTGACGCGTCACTGTTGTTGTGTGGTTTTTTTTTTCTTCCCCCCCCCCCCCGCAGGTCGACAAGCTCGAGGCCTCCGAGTCCCTGAGGAAACAGGAGGAGCAGGCCACCGAGTCCCAACCCATTGTTTACGGTAATAGAAAGAAAACCAATAAACGCGACCACTCATGGAGGTTTGTTGTGTCGCTGAGGAAGGTTTGACCCCCACGGCTCTGTTGCAGGCTCCCCCCAGCTGATGCTCACGGCGGGGCCCAACGGGGCCGTACCTCCCCAGCAGCCCTACGGCTACGGCTACCCAGCAGCCCCGGGCTACGGCCAGCCCCCGCAGCCCGGCTTCGGTTACGGCATGTGAACACGCTCTCTCCCTCCCCCAAACAACCTCCACCCCCACGATCCTCCCTCCCTCCCGCCCTCCGTCTGTCCTTCTCTCTCCACGTTCCTCACCAGCTTCCGATGGTCTTCTACACACAACGGGGGCCACAAGCAAGCAACAGCCCACTCTCGTTTTGAGTACTATTTTTTTATTCTGTCGTCTTGTTATCAGAGAAAACATTCAACTGCATTGAAGGACTTTTGTTTGTATCGTTTGAAAAGAAATTGGACCACGTGTTTTTTGTTTTTGTTTTTTCACATTCCATATTTATGACTACTTATTTAGAAATGTATTTGTGTTTGTTCTGGGTTTTTTTTATTTTACTGGTTTGTGCGGAAGTGGACTTGCTAAAGCTCAGCAACGGACCTTTGAAGTAGGTGGAGGAGCATTGGATTTTGCACTCGTAAAGAAATTAATGTAGAGAAGCTCTTACTTTTCGATGTACTGAACATGTGAACTGCTTACATTTGTCTCGTTTGTCTGTATGATGCATTTCATCGTTGTATATTCTGAGGAAAAAAAAAGGTTACATATAATATTTGAACATATATTGCCGTTTCGATGGCTATAGCTAGCAACACTAAGTAATGATAGTATATCCTGCACAGGCGTGTAGCTTTATGGAGTTTTAAAAGCATACGGACGTATGTCACCGTGTGGGTGAGGGTGTGTGTTTCTGTGTGAGTGTGTGCGCGAGTGTGCCCTGACGGTCTTATGTAAGACTTTTAACCCCCCCTCTGTCCCTACTCGGCGATCCAACCCGTCCCCCTAGATGTTAGCTCTCCGTCATTGGCTCCATGTATTTAGGTGACCTCTTGTGCCGTGTACAGTGCTTGTGTGAGACTGTATCTGTGTATGTGCAAGGATGGGACCACGGCTCCCCCACCCCGGGGGCCCTTACCCCTTAACCGTACTCTGTGTGTGCGTGCGTGTGCACGTGTGCATATACTCGGAACCCTCCTCGCGCTGAGGGCCGCGTATGCCAGGTGTTGTAGTGTTTCCCTCGGTCACCATTACTTTTTTTCGCGTGTACAGATGTGAACAACAAACATTTAGACAGATGCCCCGCCCGCCCGTCTGTCCTCCACCCACTTCCCCCGTCCCGTTTCCTCCTCTGGTAATGCGTAGCGGCGAGGAGGCGGAGAAAGAAATGTCAGCGGAACCTTTTGGCATCCCAATGACAACTTGATTAGATCCATAAACACTCCTGTAGGTTGTGTATTTAGATGGTTATGATGAAGAAATGAGGCCTCAGCACATCCAGTTCTCTGTCGAGAAAATAAGAGCCTGTATTTACCTTGATGTACTTAACTTCCTTACATGCTTTAAGCTGTGTGTGTGTGCGTGTGTAAAGTGTCATCATAACCCTAACATGAGTTGAATTCCTTTCTGTTGTCATGCATATTAATAATTAAGGGGATCTGTCATCGATAAGTGGAAGAATATGACTCAACTGAAAGGGAAATACTAGCCGAAATAAAAACTACAAATTCTACCCCGCCTGTAGAGTCGGTCTGTGTGAGAGAAAGTGATGTTTTCCCGTCCTAAAACATCAACTACATACACTTCCATGGCATTGTAATATTTGTAACAGAAACCTTTTATTGGTGCACTTCTTCACACGAGTCCTTTCCCCATGTGAGGGGCGCCGTGTCAGAGTGCTGCGGCCCGGGCCTTCTTCTCCACCTCACTGCAGTACTTCTCAGAGAGTCCCGTAGCCCTGTGCATCCACAAACACACGTCAGCTGCTTCCCCTTTCAAACATCGGCCACAAGAAGGACCCGATTAAGCCCCGCCCCCGCCGCACTTACTTGAGCTCCGTCAGCTTCTTCTCTTTGATCTCATCGAGGCGCACGCGCCTCTGCCGCGCCGCCTCCGCGCACTGATCGGCCTCCTTAAACATCTCCTTGCGCTTCGCCGCTGCCGAGAGCACTCGTTCCTTCACCTGGTTCCGAATGGCGTCGGCGTGCTGGCGTGCCTTCTGCTGCTTCCTCTCCTCCTCCTGCTTCTCTCTGAGGGTGGCTTCCTGGTGCGCCCTGTGTGGAGAGCGGCGGAAGTTGAACCCCTCCGAGCCTCCCATGGTGATGCTCTGAGATGGTGTTGAGGATCACGGTGTCTCACCTCAGCAGCCTCTCGTTCTCCGCCTTCTCCCGGCCCATCTCCATCGACAGGAGGCGCTCCTTGCGGCGAACCTGCTCGGCGTGAGCCGCCGTCATCGTCGCCTTCTCCTGCGCCGCCTTCGCACGGCGCTCCTTCTCTTTCCTCCGCCACTCGCGCTCTGCGATCTCCTGGTTCCTCCTAGCGCGCAGCTCGTCCTGCCAGATGCACAGAAACCAGGCGTCGACATGCAGAATGCTGGTTCAGTGGATGTGCACGGATTGTTAGAAGATGATGATGATGATAATCTGACATGTTCTGCGGGTACCACTCTCACTGTCTGTTTTGTTCCTGACCTGCTCTGACTTGTAGTCTTTTGCCTTTTCTTGCTGGGTCCTCAGCCGGGCGACCTCTATCTCCTTCTCCTTCCTGATACGTCTCTGCTCCGCCTCGTATTCGGCCTCCCGCTGCTGCAGAGGTCACACAAAGTCAACGTGCAGGAAGAGAATAGCGTATTTTCACAAGACAGAAATATTCCATTTTGAATATAATTTAATTTAAATTGAATGTAATGTCTGTGCATTGATGTTTGTGTTTTCTGCTAATGATGATTTCTATTTCATCTCACCGTTTTGTTTTTCATGTACTCCATGTTTCTCATGTCGGCCAGCTTCTCCTCCTCCCTCCTCTGCTCCTTGGCCCGCATGGTCTCAGTGTTGATGCGAATGATCTCGTCCTGCAGATGCTGCTGCTCCTCCCTCTTCTTCTCCATGGCCTGTTAAGAAGCCAGCGAGTCAGTCCCCCATGCATGTCCACCCCCCCCCCCCCCCCTAAGTCCCCGTTCTGCACCTTGAGGTCTTCCCAGGGTTCATCCTCTCCAGTTTCTCCCTCGCCTGCTCTTTCTCTGCTCTTTCATCAGCTCTTGCATTTCCTTGTCAGTTAAATGCTGCCGGGATCTGGTCGCAAATGCTCTCCATTCCCCTGGAATGGAACACCGGCACGGCCCCGATGAGACGATCCTTTATGAGTCCTGCAGAGGACATTGTGCTTTTTAACTGTCACTCAGCAGAGCTCCCCTCACCCGATCCTCTGCTGTCGGCGCAGCTCATCTATCTGCTCCACGGTGGCCAAGGCCTTGAGGCGCTCCTCCTCCATCATGGCGTCCAGGCGCTTGTCCTCCTCCGACAGCTCCGTCGTGATCCGTTTCTTCTCGTCGACCTGGTCGTCACGTGTGGCCTGACACTGAGCCGCCAGGATCAGCTGAGGGAATCACACACACACGCAGAATGAATTTACCTGTTTGGGTTTTTTTTGCAGACAATCTGCGCTGCCGATGATTCACAGGCCCACTTCCACGTCTCTCAGCTGCTTCCCACCTTGTTGAGCTCTCTGATCTCCACCTCTTCCTCCATCCTCAGGGCGTTTGCCCGCTCCACCAGGCGCTGCGCTCGGTCCCGGGCCTCCAGCTCCAGCTCGTTCAGTGCCTGGTTCTCCTTCCGCCAGAGGGTTGCCTCGTAGATCTGACGCTTCCTTTCCTCTGCGGCGCTCTGGATGAGAAGAGGGGACGGGCTTGTTGTAAATCTGCAGGTTAAAGAACAATAGTGACGGGAGTTGTTCACGTTTCCTACAGTTTCCTCCTCTTTCGACTGATAACCTTCCTTCAGGGCCTCCCTCTCCTCCTTGGTGAGAATGTGAGACCTTGAGGTGATCCGCTGAAACTCTTCTGGTGGCAGAACGACGGAACAGCCTGGAGGATCCTTTAAAGGGATCCTGGATGTTAAATGTGCTGAAATCATTAAATGTACTTCGCCTATAATGGTGCCATTTGTTTTGTTTTTTATTTCTGTAATATGCAGCAGCTATTACATAGCATTTTTTATTTAAATTTAGCTCCTTAAATCTTCATCTATCAAAATGGAAATTATGCTTTAATACAACTGAGAGTTTGGAGTTGATCGGCGAGCGTTATCTTACCTGAGAGTGCGGATCAGGTCTTTGGTGACTATTTGAACAATCTCTCTTTCCTGCTTCCCCCTGGACTTCTTCTTTGGAGCCGAGTTTCCATCTTTCTGTGACTGTCGGAGTTTGTTAGAATCACCTCACAAACCCAAACATAATCTCCGATGTCTCCACCAGTGAACAAAATTCCACCTTCTAAAAGGGTAGGAGGTTGAATTTACGTGATTCTTTGGATTCTTTTTTTCAAATATCTGGTACCTGGGGGTAAGAATAAAGCCACTTGAATGCCCTGTCGAAATATCCAATAACCTTTCACGGTGAAAAAAATAATGTTACTCAGTAATTCGGTGTTTAAAATGACCCATGATCCCGGAGTCATTGCAACATCACAACATCAGGACCTGCTAGAAATGCAATAAACTGTCACGAACAGAAGAGAGCGTGTAGCGGCTCACTCACCGGCGTTGGGCTCCCGAACAGGCTCTCGTCCACCTGGGAGGAGGCGGCCAGCGTGCGGTACCGGCGGGTACAGGACCCGCCTCTCGGTTTCGGTGAGCTGGATGCGCGTCTCTATACGGGGATGAACGCATAACCGCTCGCTGTTAACCGCAGAAATTGTCCTCTCGAATTAAGACGCCCTTGGCAACGGCGTCGCTTTACCCTTCCACTCACCATGGTGCAGGTTGTTTGTTGCAAACCAAGAGGTATACGTGTGCTAAAACGCCAACCTGACTGATTTGATGACTATTGAAGATCTGCCGGGAGGTGTTTTGTAATGAAGCGATCGGACGACTGCGCGACACCCGTTGGAAATGTGTAGGATGTTTGTTGTTGGTTACCATGGGAACACACGTGAGGGCCTCGCTGGCAGAAGGTTGAAAATAAATATTTTATATTTCATGGAACTGTGTGCAAAACTGCAAGAATAGCATACATGAAGAAGGGTAGCTACACTGAGAATAGTTTGAATGTAAGATATTTATTTTTTGCTGCTGGTAAACTCCTTTCTATCAAATAAAAACATCGTTTAATGGACCAGACATGGGAGTATTTGATTATAAAATACAATGTAATTTTTAAGTTCCTAATATCTGTAAGACAATATTAAATGGCTGTCTTAGTCTCAAAATTCTACGAATGCATGTTTTGAATAAATAAGTAAAAAGTCCACGGTCAAACGGAACCATTAGTTTGGAGCGTGTTCCACGACGAGCACAGAACAGCGTTGTACGCATTCATTATGGGAATGAAAAGGTTTGCCAAGTCAGCGCCGTTTTTATATCCCACTTCCCCTCCCTGTTAATAGTTTTCTGGTGTCACTCAGCGGGGCGGACCGTGCACGCGCAGGTCCGACACGCACACGCAGCGGAAGTGGCTCCGCACGCGCTTTAAAGGGCTCCGACGGATGACGTCAGTTTTTAGGTAAATTCAACAACGCCGGAAGTTATCGTCGCCCCTCTAAAGCCGAAACAAATCAGTGTTTGTCTATTGGACTTTTCGACTATTTCCTGTAAAATAAACTCTGGCAGCTGCAACATTATAACACTGAACCATTTTGTTCAGCATGACGACCTCCACATATGAACATCACTCCGGAGAGCATCTTCTTAATCTGCTTCATTTATTGTTGTATCTCTAATGTGCCACAGGTCTCTTGCTGTTGAGGACCCCCCCCCCCCCATCGTCTCCCCCTCCCCCCTCCACCCGTCTAACGTGCACAGGAGCCTCCCCCTGGTCTGCTGTCACCATTGGACCTCACAGCAAATGATTAACCACGTCCATGTGAGGACTCCTTCCTTCCATGACATCCTCGGGTGGAGAAGCAGCAACAGACGGCAGAAGGGCTCAAACCCACCGCAGCCGTTGTTCAAGTCGAAGCACCCGTTGTTATGAGGCGGCGCCCGTTGAGAACGACAGATCACAAACTGATTGATCTCTTTGTCCAATCCCTCCGGCTGGCCTGCAGCGAATCCCAGATTAAATCGGCCCCGGGTCAGGAAAGTTGACCATTAACCTCTAGAACTGATTGCGTGCACATCTCCAGTCGTAAGCAGCTGAGGGAATATCGAGGATCCTGTGGCAAAGTTCACTGTCAAGAAGTCTGTCGAACGCCAGGAGCCGGCTCCTTTTCTCTCAATTGCACGCGTATTCTTCCATTTTTTTGTCATTTTTAAAGCACTAAATCCGCAGCCATGGCAACAGCGGGTTATGGATACTACCGAGGCACCATATTTCTGGCCATGTTTTTGGGCTACACGCTGTACTACTTTAACAGAAAGACCTTTTCCTTTGTGATGCCTTCACTCATGCAAGAAATTCAGCTGGATAAGGACGACCTGGGTATGAGACTCTTGATTTATGATCGACTTCACCCCCGATTGTTGTTTGGCTCGTTGTATATAAGTCACAGTTTATGCTCTTACAGTAAGGTAGCATCTTTCATGAAACTGTTTTTATAAACATTGGAATTGTAAGAATCTAAAGATAAATGAATTATTCACCCCCAAACACATATATTTTAATATGTTTCCTTGATTAGCTGTTTGCTCTTTTGCGGGACCATCTCGCTTTTTAAAATTTTGAACGCCCTTTTGTTCAGGCATGATCACCAGCAGTCAGTCTTTGGCCTACGCTATCAGTAAGTTCATCAGCGGCGTGCTTTCGGACCAGATCAGCGCCCGCTGGCTCTTCTCCATTGGCCTGTGCGCGGTGGGAGGCATCAACGTGGTCTTCTCCTGGTCCTCCACCGTCGCCGTCTTCTCTGGCCTGTGGTTCCTCAACGGCCTGGGCCAGGGCCTGGGCTGGCCTCCCTGCGGCAGGGTGCTGCGCAAGGTACCTCGCCATCGTCCCGTCCCATTCGACGCGTTTATTTTACTCCGTGCAGTTTGAGCGTTAGTCAATATTCAGTGCAATTCACACAAGGCTACATTGTCACCACGCAATGTGGAAACTGTCAGTCGCCCGTCATACAGTGATTCGGGACGCCGCCCTGGTTCAATGATTTCATCCCTCCTGTACGTGAAAGGTGCTGTAACGGCACTTCCTGCCATCTCGTTACTTCCTCTGCCGTCAGTGGTTTGAGCCCTCTCAGTTCGGGACGTGGTGGGCGATTCTCTCCTGCAGCATGAATCTGGCTGGCAGCTTGGGCCCCATCATTGCCACGGTGCTGACCCAGAGCTACAGCTGGAGGACCATACTGTTCGTGTCCGGAATGATCTGTGTGGTGGCTTCCTTTTTCTGCCTGCTGCTCATCAAGAACGAGCCCAAGGATGTGGGGCTTCCCAGCATCGAGGCAGCAGCCAAGAAGAGCAAAGGAGGTGACACTGAATGCTCATTTTAACCTAAATAAAGCACCACATGTTTATTTCAACATACCTGATGTCTCGGCACATTACGCAGAGGCGTGCGTGTGTTTTTGCACAGCGTGTGCCTCCCTGTGTTGTGACTAAAGGTCGGTGTCGGCGTGGACTTTGCGCCCCTCTCGTGCTGTTTGTACACGGTCAACGTGAGAAAGAGGCCGCGTTTCATTCGTGTGATTGGAAGCATAATAACACTCTGTCTTCTGCCTGCTTCCGCTTCAGAATCCTCCAGCTATGAAAGCACGCTGTCCGAGTTCCTGCTGTCCCCCTACCTGTGGCTGCTGTCCATGTCCTACCTGGTGGTGTTCGGGGTGAAGACGGCCTGCACCGACTGGGGTCAGCTGTTTCTCATCCAGGATAAGGGCCAGTCTGCACTCATGGGTATGGAGGACAATATGCGGAGGATTTGGCTTTGTCCGATTTGATATATTCTTGCGAATCACCGTGTTTTTCCTCTCATAGGTAGCTCATACATGAGTGCGCTGGAGGTTGGAGGCCTGTTTGGCAGTCTCGCGGCAGGTTATCTTTCGGACAAGGCGGTGGCCAAAGTGAGTTTGCATGAATAAGGACTTAACCCCCGAAATGTTTCTGCATCACAGCCACATAAAGGACAATAAATGGTCCTGTTTATATGTAATCGGAAGTTGGCAACAAAAGAAACCAGGACAACTGTTATTTGTTCCCTTATTTTGTGCAGCAACGCAAGACGCTCTACGGCAATCCTCGCCATTTCATCCTGGTCTGCATGATGGCTGGAATGTTTGTGTCCATGTACCTGTTCAGAGTCACGGTCACCGCTGACAGCTCAAAGGTATCTCTCCCACACAGACGTCCCGTTCGACGGAAGTTGAAAACGAAGAGATTCTTAAGCGCGTGTTGCCTCTCATTTGTACGTCCAGGTGTGGATTCTCAGCTTGGGTGCTGCTTTCGGTTTCTCCTCTTACGGACCAATAGCGTTATTCGGCGTTATAGCCAATGAGAGCGCCCCCTCCAACTACTGCGGGACGTCACACGCCATTGTTGCCCTGATGGCTAACGGTAAGTTCAGTGGCTTTAGTTTCAGAATCATCGCCTAATGCATCACCTGCACATATGGAGCCTTAGTAATGAAACAATACAAATAGTTCCGTAGGGATTTACTTGGTTTAGTTTATATATTGTAGAACATACTTTCTCTTCTTTAATCCTCGGGAGTAAACATGTCTTCTCCTCAGTCGGTGGCTTCCTGTCTGGACTTCCATTCAGCACCATTGCCAAACATCACGGCTGGGAAACGGCCTTCTGGGTAGCCGAGGTCTCCTGTGGCGTCACCACCATTGGATTCATCCTTCTGCGCAACATCCGCAACAAGATGGGTCACGTGTCCAAGAAAGCCGAATAAAACCTCATTACATCTTCTCTATTCCAGACAGAAAAACGGATATTTTAAGCCATCAATGTATTTTAATATTTTTGTAACTTGATTTTTTATTTTATTTTACAATAGTACTTGTTGTCTTGCAGGACTTGGATATAAATTAAGCCGTGATACGCTGAGTGCCTTTTTTTCAAGAAAAGTTTGAAATGCGTTTTCTACAGTATTTACTAAAATAACCTTGTTTGCCCAGTAATGGGACATCTAAAGAAAGGTTTCTGTTTACAAACACTTAAGTATTTCAATTATAAGAGCATAAAACTGGCACCTGTTTTGAACTAATGTGTTTTTTTTTACTACTTGGTAATGAATCGTGAATGGAAAAATACTTTTTTTATAGAAAGCAAATTGTGTAGTCGGCAAAGGCTTGAATAAATTATAGTTTGTTTCATAGTTTAAGCTAAATATCCAGCATACTAAAGTTACATCATTCAGTTAATATAAATGCACACAAACACAAATATGCAAAAATGTATTTAATTTCAAGTATTTACAAAACATAATATATATTTACAATGTGTTAATTAACGATCCGACACCAACTTATAAAACAAAAAAACCAATTTGTTTAGTTTTTTCTTAACTGAATTTTGAACCACCTTCGTATGAAGTCAGTCTGTTGTGGAAATCATTGCACATATCTAGTCTCCCCTAGTTCAAGATCCAGCTCCAAAGTTTCCCGCCTTCTCTGCAATTTCCAGTGCACCCTTCAGATTCTGGTCAAAGAGTTCACACCTGAGAAAATGAAATGTTTGCAGTGACATCAGAGGACACAAGCAATTGGTTGTGTGGGTGCAGACAACAACAATTCACAAAAGACACACAAAGACACACAACCCAAGCAGAATGGGAAGAAACCTCAGCCCGATTCCTCGTGATTACCTGATTGGCATTTCCAGAGAATAAAACGGGTTCTTGAGTGCGAAATCCGAATAGATCTCGTATATCTTCCTCAATAATGCATCAATACCAGACTGTCGAGGGTCTGCCAGCACGATGAACTTTATCCCTGAGAGAACCACCGGGAAACAAGAGATGGCGAGGACATCAGTGCAAAATAACTACTGTCAAACACACAAGTAGTAATTGTCTCATGTACAGAATACCGAGTGGGTCGAGTTTTTTTAGATGCGACTTAATATCACAACGTGCTTTGTTACACATGTCCTTGTTTCACAGTGACGCCCTACTGACCTGTGAGCGTCTGGAAACAGTGGAGTTTGAAGACATCCGTCTCTAGCATCTCAATCCCTGAACTGCCGACGTCAGGAGACAGCTGGGAACCAATAGCAAACAACCTGGGGGGAGAAACACACCATTTTATGCTCATATCAGAGATCCACAGAGAAGTATGCAATGTGTCACACTAAATGGTAGTCCTTCAATGTGAATCCAGCAGCAGCTAAAAGCAAGCAGCCAACCAGATGCGATGAGACTATGAGATGTAGTTACTGTGCACAGAGGAATATTCTTAATGTGTTGGGTAATGTCGAACTTACGAGTGGAACATGGATGCCAGCATCAGCTTCTCGTTTGAGCTCAGTCGGGCCCGTCCAAAGCGAATAGACACCGGATAATTAGCAGGATCCTTTAAATATTCAAGGGTGTCCTTCCCGTCTGCGGTGTTCTTGCCTTGCACGTCAACTCCGTTGATGGACAGCACTGCGTGGCCCACTGCAGAGTGACAGAAAACGCTATCAAAGACCAACGAAACGCAACGCTAAATGGGTGAAATAGCCCACAAGAGAGGGTTCTAATGTTACGTTAACGTTAGCTAGCAAGTAAACAGAGCTAGCGTTACGTGAGCTAACGTAACGCCCCGGTACGTTACCTCGGATTCCGTCCCGCTGCCCGAACGATACGACCACCTTTTCGTCGTGATTCTTCAGCACCAAGTCTAAAGGGTAGCTAAACGTTTTCTCGGCCTCCGCTCTCGGGACATAATTGTCATATTGGTAAATTAAACCTCCGGCCTTGTTCACCACGTACACACTGAAGATCACCATGTTTGCGACGCCCCGCACGGCTGACACGTGTCACGTGACAGTGTGTGTGACAGGACAGCTAAAAAAAAAAAAAGCATATTAAGCTATTTTATATTTTCCTTATTGCTTTTAGCTTGGTATCAAAATAAAATCGACCGATATAACCATATGGTCTATTGGTAAGACTGAACAATTTCATGTGCCAATAGCGATTAAAAAAACGATCGAACTCAATTTCCCATAACTCCCTATTCCACTTCCGCATATACGGGTTGTCTAAGGGGCACTTGCACGGGTGAACTTCCTTTCGCTCCGACATCTTGACGAGGAAACATGGTGAGGACAGTTTACACACGTTTTGTCGAAACAAATAAAAAAATGGTCCACCTTTCCTACACTAATGTCGAGTTGTAATTATACGGAGTATGTGGCGAATGCTACGGTTGCTGCTCCGCTGTCCAGAGTGTATCAGTGACGAATTAACGTGTTGGATTTCACTCATTTAGCGGTTGGCTAGCTCGCTCGCTCGCTAGCTAGCGTGCTAACTGCTCCATGCTCTCGCATTAAACAGGTGAAAGATCGTGCACTGATCCCGGTTAAAGCACTATAATGCAAATGTGACCCATCCCTTGGTCGATCAGGATAGACTATTACTATGTTGATATTATAATTTAGAATAAGTCGTGGTCATAGCGAGTCTTGTACGCTCATCCGACTAACGAGGCAAGGCCATCCCATGCCGGACAGTAACGTTCGTTAACCCCAGGCCCCCGTCCCGTCAGCTGAACGCACGTCTCCTAACGATCATCATCGTATTGACGAACACGGCGGTTGAAGCACATTTTGACGTGGCCCACGTGTGACGTTAGCCCTTAATGTGACGCGTTGTAACCTGCAACGTCCTCCTTGTGTTTCAGCCTCCCAAGCAGGACAAGAAGAAGGACGCTGGGAAGTCCAAAAAGGAGAAGGACCCAGTCAACAAATCCGGAGGCAAAGCCAAGAAGAAGGTGTGTAGTGGTTAAATGACCACAATTGTTGCCTTACATGTGTCAAGGATTCTTTTTCACCTTGAATACTACAGAGCTTTCCTAATCAAAAACTTTTTTTTTTTTTAAATATTGTGATTTGAGCAGAAGTGGTCCAAGGGAAAGGTCAGGGACAAGCTCAACAACCTGGTACTCTTCGACAAGGCGACCTACGAGAAGTTGTACAAAGAGGTCCCCAACTACAAGCTCATCACCCCAGCTGTTGTGTCTGAGAGGCTGAAGATCCGTGGCTCTCTGGCCAGGAACGCTCTCCAGGAGCTGCTCGCTAAAGGTAGTTTGTAAAAAAATAAAGGTCTGCCCAAAAAGTAGTGCACTCTAAATTAGAACATATATAGTCTTATTTGAGTTTGCATTCAAAACAATAAGAGCCTTGAACCCTCACTGCTTTTACAGCACTTAGTGTTATATGGTATCGTTGGCATCGTGCTGCACATTCTGTATTTTACGTCCTGGTAAAATTCCATTAACCAATTGTTCTACTTTCAGTGTAGTTAATTTTTCAACATAACCAGAATTGTAGCTCCTTCCTCAGATGTTTAATTCGCTACGCTGTTGGTCAAGCGAGATCATTCTGTTAAATTGAAATTATTCATAGAACTGATTGTAAATGCATTTTTCTGTCTCCTTCAAAGTATCTTGGAAGAGCTGGTTAGTGGTTTAATCTTGGGGCTAAGCCTAAACCTTAAGTAATCTCACCTACCAGAATATCTATTGAATGCAGAGGTGCAGATGGTTTGAACAGCAACAATAACTCTTTGTCATCTATATTGTGATGCAACATTAAGCTCATGGTAACACCAAGTCATCAGCACTTATGGCGTTTTTCTCAACGCTCTCTCACTACATATCATGCTAATGTGTTTCACTGGCAGATCCCAAATGAGTGTTTATGGCGGATCTGCAGCGTGTCTACCGCCCACATCACTTATCATAGATGCAACAGTGTTTTTGTCTTTAATATACTTCACTCTTAAAATCTATTAAAGAACAATTTGCAAAAGGAGCATGTGAATGCTTTTCAAAACATTTTAGTAATGTAAAATATTATACTGCTTCCCACAGCGACCAAGCAACCGGGTTAGATAACAAATGGTGGACGTGATAAAGCATTAGAATCCATTGAAGGAGGAACTTTTGAATGAATCTGTTACCCATCACGCTCCAGTGACTGCATGCCACAGGCACTCAAATCGATGCACCTCAAACGTTACCATAGAGAGGTGAACTGCGTTTATCTAACGTAAAGGATAAACGGCTCACTGACTATGCGGTTTGGTTCTGATAAAATGCGTATAGTCTCAAGCTTTGAGTGAGCTATAAAAAAGCAATGTGTTAAACTGCAGGACTTTTTGGTGGTCGTACTGGTTTATGAGGTGAATTGTCCACATCAACAGAGTGGCTAAAACTTGTAAATCACCTGTTGGAGTGATTTTAATACGGCTAAAGACTGATAACCGATAACTCTTAGACCAAAGCACGATAATTACAGTTGAAATGACCCGTCTGCTCAAGTGATTTGCAGTATAACTGAGCGGGGAATGGCTGCACATATGAAATGGTTGTGCGTGTGTGTTTGGCTAAAAAGCAAACATGGTTTTGAATTTCAGGAATGATCAAACTGGTGTCCAAACACAGAGCACAGCTCATCTACACACGCAACACCAAGGGTGGAGATGAGGAGGCAGAGAAAGCAGCAGAGAAAGCATAATCAGGTACAAAGCAAACATCTGTCACTAGTTGTACTTCAGTTTTTATTCATTCATCTTTTAGTTGCATTTACTGACCGGCTACCTTTTTTGTCTTGCAGGTTCTCCTGTGTTTCTTCCAATGAGCTGTTTGTAATAAAAGGTGAATAAAAACTGAAAAGACAAAATCACATCTGTGCATTTTACTATTGTGTGAGTAACTGTACTAATGGCAAGATGGGTGACCGTTTCTATGAAACTTTTTACATGCTCTCAAAATTCATACAGCTGTTGTGCTAATATCTCCCCGGGCAAAATGTAACTGGGTTAAAAATCCAATGTAAGTCGCTTTGGATCAAAGGGTCAGCTAAATGACATAGTAATAATGATGATGATGCAGCAGCGTCTGCAGGTTAAGGAGTTAAGTAGAACGAGTGTCCCGATGGACGATCAAGGTGATACTGATTTATGTGTGCAGGCAAACACTAAAATAAAGAACCAGTTCCTCCAAAAAAAACCCATCTGAATCCCTCAATTCGTACAGCGTGTCAACTGATAAATTCAAGGGGACGTCTTCCCTCCACTGAACTTCATCTCCGTGTAAGATGGATATTTTCTTCCCAGCTGTTCCATTCACGTCGCCCCATTTGTCTGTTAAATGCCCCGGGCAGTGACCGGTTATGAGATCTTAATAAGAAATGGCATAAAATGATGCTGTCGGATGTTTGCTGCGGGCATCAAGGGCGCAGGAGTTCTGTGATTGATGCAGTCGGACGTCCCGTTGTCGCTGCTCAGCACCACCTGCAGCCAAACCAACTACACCATCCAAACAAACTACACCATGCAGGAGGCTGATGAATGCACCTCCATCAGCTCCTCCAGCATCAACAGCTCTTCCACCAACAGCTCCTCCTGCATCGCCATCCGTTGCTGCGTGATTTATTTCAGAATAAACTGGCTGCTGCAGGGGCACACATGGCTAATACCTTTGTCTTTATAAGGCCGTCCATGTATCGTGATGTATATCGAGGGGACACAGTCTGCGGTGTGGCTGTCTGACACCTGGACCCTCAAGCTATGGGAGCTGGTCCATGTGCTCTGTGTTTCCATCACTTCCTGCTGCTTTTCTTTGGCATGATTTGATTGGCTACAGAGCCTTTGGGTTTTCTACTTTAGACATTTTATAAGTTTAGCTTTGTTTAACAGTGTGCAGACGGCACTGATTTTGGGATCCTTTTTGACTCACGGGTTTGAGCCCATTTCCTGTATGCATCGTCCTGTGTGCCTCACTCTTGTCCTTTGACCAAATCTTAATTTATGTACTGTTATGCTATGGAAATGGCCATCCACTAATTCTGTCGTGTGATGAAGTTCTTTCCATTCAGTTACCCCAAGACGTGGTATTTGGTTAGTTTTCATATGTAATTCTATCCGTCACAGCCCTTTCGCTGGAATGGATTTTAGTGAATCTATTTTCAAGAGTGTTTTGTGTGTTTCAGGCGTCAATGCCGAACACAACTTGGTCAACCTCAGCAGTCAGCTGTCTGACACATGAGGGTCTTCGGCTGATTTGGGTCCTTGAGCTGTAAAAGCTGCTCAATGCGCTCACTCTGTCTTTCACAGCACTGAATGCCACACGCTGCAGATCTGCTCGGTCCACTGTTTGGGTTTTACTTCAGTAAACGGTCTGATGTCATTGCTCTGCTCTCTCCTCGGGCACCCTCACACACACACACACACACACACACACACACACACACACACACACACTCTATTAATACGCTGTGTCTGCTGCTTGTCTCTTCTGCCACTCTGACTTACTAACTGCCCTCCACAAGGTCCCTCTCTCTCTTACTCTCCCCTCCCTCCCTCTCTCTCTCTCTCTCTCACACACACCCCGATGGTACTCAGATGTCTGCAGAGACGGCTGCAGAGGGGAGTGGTGGTGGCAGCGCCGTCTCGTGGTGCTTCCTGAGCTGCATTTATGGCTCTCAGCTGCTGACTGGCTGACAGACGAGTGAGCGGCTCAGTCTCTGCTCACCGGGGGAGAGAGAGAGAGAGAGAGAGCAACACTCAACGGTGAGTCCTCTGCCCTTTCTTCCACAAGTGCTGTCATTGTGTCTCTTTTTGGACGTCCTCTTAAGGTAATGTTTGGAAAGGAAACCCTTTCACCTACTGAGCAGTTTCTCTATATGTTCCTTTTTTTTCCTTCTCTCTTTCCTTTGTCTCACAATGTGCTGCGAATACTTTGTAGTTTTGGAAAAGGTCTTTTGAGGCTGCCAGCTGTCTGCGCTCTTACCTTACATGGCCAGAAATATGTGAACACCAAGGTAACGAAAAGAGGATCTCACTGGCGTTTTTTGGTGTTATGAGCAACACTACGGTGTTTTTTCATTGTTTCTATTAGTTACGGCCATGTAATGTGTGTGTCTGTCCCTCCTGTGCTGCCCTTTTAAATTTAGTTCACAATCCTGCGGACTATTTTTAGAAGTTGAGGCGTCGGAGTGGAGACGTGACGCCGGCTACTCGCCAGACGGACAAACTTTTTGCCGTTGAGTCTCCGCTCGAGAAGGGGAAGCCTTGATTCTAAAAAAAACCCTGTGGCTCCTCCCCAGAGGTCAGCGACCCGGCCGGGCCGGGGCCCCCCGGGTTAAGGTGCCCTGCTAACAGTCCTAAACAACGTGGTCTTAGTGGAATCTGCATTGTAGTGTAGGATCAGTATTTGTTTTGGATTGACAGTTTGTCACCACGAGGCTTAAAAAAGGCCCGATGGGAACATCTTTTCCTCCGGGGCGCGAGGCTGTGCTTCACGTGAGCAGTGGGTCTGTTTTCTGTTGGGTTGCTATGGAAGGAGCGGTTTGCGGCCGAGGGGCTGGTGGCTGCAGTGAAACTGGAGCTGGAAGACGCCTTCAAACATCCAGCTTCCGCACCGCTGCCTTTCCCGGCTGTCGCCGAAGCACCCGGTCCTCTTAATGGCGCTCGTCAAATCCATTATCGGTGTAATGAACAAACCCGGCGCTCATTTGCCCGGAGTGGGCTGATCAACACGTTAACCCGCAAATGCTCTGCGGCTGCTAAATGGGTGTAGTGCGGGGATTTTGGAGTAGGTCAATTTAACAGACGCTAATTCATCTCAGTCCTCATTTGAGCCTCGCTGGAGAACTTAATTTAATTTACTTTCTCTGCTGCGTTTTGCACATTCAATTTCTCACCGTGACCTCTTGATGTATTAAAATGAGGGAAAATGACCGTTGTGCATAACTTACTGCTCATCAACCTTCGATCTCCTCTCCCCTGTGGAAAAGACACTTTTTGGGGGCGAGAGGGGGGGAGAAAATGAATTGGTTTGGTTGTGAAATAAGGGCTATTCATCACAGCTGGGCTCGGCGTCCATGTGACGGTTCCTGTGGATAAGCGGGTTCGGTCGCAGAAATACACTCGGCCTTTTATGCAAACACATCTCCTCTGTGTTTACTGCAAACGGCGAGAAGCATGAGCTGTGGAGACCTTTTATTATCGGCTCCCTGGAACATCACGTGGGCACAGAGCTCCGGCGGCGGGCTGGTTTGCTTTTTATTCAGCGCCGCATGCTGAGAGGGCGGAAAACCTCATTATTTACAGAAGCGCAGCTCAGTTCGGTTTGTTCGTACCGTGCAGTCGGTCGGCCCCTTTCTGCTGGTGGCGGCAGCGGGTTCATGCGCCCAGAACATCTGTTTATGTCAGAGAGGAAATCAATTTGGGTTTGAAAAGTGGCTCCTTAACATGATGGAAACGGCCTTTTACTGCGTCGGTACGATGGAACATCTGTCCCGTATGTAAATCAGCCCGGCTCCTGGATACACGGGGCCTTGTTTACAGAACTTTTTTGCTATAAAGTATAGATGAGCATTTTCTCCGGTCCTTGTCCCGGGACAAAAGCGGCGTTCTCTGCAGCTCGTGTTTAGTTATTAATGCAGATTATTCAGAGGAGTGACATTGCTCCCGTCTGCAGCCTCGTGTGGTCCTTGGCTCCGCTGTGCCGTTGTGAAATCTGTCCCCGAGGTTCCCTGTTGTCACATTGTCAGATGGTGTAAATGTGCTGACTCGAGGGCTCGCTCGCTAGCAGGCTCCTGCAGTTGGAACCCTCACGTGAGCTGAATGCACAAAACGGCGGTTCCTGGTTGGAGACATTCGTCACTTGCGGCCTTCTGCTGAGTGGCCGGAAAGTAGCCGACTGCCTCGGCTCTGTGGTGGGCGGCATTTTTCCTTTTGGAAGTTTTTCCATTGGCGCAAAGAGCCGGTTATCCGCTGGATGAACTGGCAACGCCCGTGTGCGGAGAAGGAAAAAGTGCAGCTGTAGGAAGATGGCTCTCGGTAGAGTTCTGATCTTCAGCAGGTGTGCAACCATCACGGCTGTGGAGCGATGGAAGAAATCAACAAACCAACAAAACCGTCAAAAACACTTATTTCAACTCAAAAGAGCAGCGATGAATGCGGCCAGTTGGCTCGAAGTCTCGCCATGAGTCACGTCATGCAATCCTGGCAAACAAATCCAAAACAGATAGATTTCCAACTGTTTTCCCCGGCAGAGGTGACGAGGTGCTTGGCAGTTTGTGCACCGGTAGTTCTGTTTGCCAAACGCACAAAACACAAAGCGAGCCCCCGGCCGGGGGGTGGGGGGGTGGGAGCAGTGAGGGAGGAGCCGGCAGACGTACAATGGCAGAATTGTCCTTGGCGCATGTAGTCATAGCTAGCCAGCCCAAATACTATGCAGGGAGTGCACAATGAGATCAGCCAAGGACTGACCGAGAGGTACACAAACACACAACCGAACCCACAATCCTCCTAATGGAAATGATCAGGAATATGTTACTTGTCACTGTGTCTGCAGGCTCACAATGTCACTAAAATATACTCGAGAATACATTTTTATAGCGATGCCGTGAGGTTGCTTGTAGTGACGAACCGTCATGGCGACCTTAAGCTGGTCTTTTTCAGACACAGTTGGCAACCAGCTGGTGACCAATGATATTTCCCTCAAGAGCTGATGGAGAACTTGAATATTGTAACAGTGAATTTACATAAATAATGCCAAAGTTCAACTGCTGGATGTATGCATAGAAACTTAAAGGGATTGTGTCCATTTTCTGCTGCCCCAAGTGGCCACAAAAGGTACTGCAGCTCAGAATATTACAGCGTTGTCAGAATTAGTGTGTGTGGCTGCAGATATCACATACTAATATGTGATATACTCATAGTTGCTGTCACGTCCAGTCCAGGCTGAACGGCTCGAAAGACCCACGTTTCTTCCTTTTAACATCTGTCTCTGTGGCCTGCGTGGCCTCCATGTGGCAGCCAGCAGATGGTGCGGGAGCAGTATGTCACCACCACCCAGGGCAGCAGCTCGCCCGGGCCGGTGCCCGACAACGTCTACAAGATCGGCATCTACGGCTGGAGGAAGCGCTGCCTCTACCTGTTTGTCCTCCTGCTCATCATCATCCTGGTGGTCAACTTCGCCCTCACCATCTGGATCGTCCGGGTGATGTGGTTCAACACGGTACGCGTGCTTCTCCTCGGCGAGCTGTGCGTGGTTTCTTTTCTCTCCTTCTGGTCCCATTTGTCTTCTGTGGCTGGGCAAACATGGAGACAAATGAAATGTCACTGTTTTTAACCAAATAACTATTTTACAACCATGTGGCGGGGTCCATTATTGGAGCTTATTTTTGGTAGACTTTTGATAAATGCTTTTGTACGTAAAGGCAAATATGGGAGGTGACCAAAATGCCCCTTTTAAGTCCAGGAAAGTTTATAATGCTTATTCCATATTGCGATATCAAAAATGCAGATGTCCTCTCAGATCGATGTATTGGCCTCACCTACTTTCTTCCTTCCATGCTTCACTTTCTGTCTTATCACATGACCCAATGATCCTGTTTGTTACATTTATCATGAGCAGCAGAGGTGGTGGAATTTATTATTAACTGACACTCGGCTGTCTATAGAGGGATAGTTTATTTTCTATTTCATGCAGGCTTGTTTGCTTCTCGAGTCCAGATGGCATCCATGGAGTCATGCAGAAAAAGGGACTCAACAGACGTCCACACACACACAGACACACACAATGTCGAGGCACAGCTAAATCTGTCTGGTTTAGTCCATTGGTAAACGATAAATAAGCTATAAATTGGTTAGCTGTCAAACTATGAATGTTTGTCCTGAATTTTACCGGAGTCTGTGTTCCTTCTCTTTGGCCGCAGGGGGGGATGGGACTCCTACAGGTGAACTCGGATGGCGTCAAGCTGGACGAGGGCGAGTCGGACTTTCTTTTCCCCGTCTACGCTCAGGAAATCCACTCCAGAGAAGTAAGATGAGCGAGCACTTTTCTCTCTGTTCCACATCCTTTTTTTTCTTTCTAGTTTCCTAGTCCACGTCCCGCTTTCTTCCTCCTGTCCAACTCATTTTCAAACTTCTGTTCGTCGAGTGGGCCTTTCCATTATTGCATCTCACAGTTTACCAAATTGAAACCTGATTGAGTTGCATCCGTGCGGAGGAGACACGCTGCCAGCTTCTAAATCTAATTCCTCACAGACAACCGAGGCACTTTTATCCAGCTGTAGAATTGCATATTTCCGACTCTACTCTTTTCTCTTTTGGAGATGTGTCAGACCAAACTGGATTTGGAGGTCCCACGCGGCACACGTGGTGCGCAGAGAGCTCCCCATTAACCTCGGGATATTTGTGGTGGAAAGTAGTTTATGGGCTGCCTGCGAGCAGCAGATGGGAACACTTTGCTGCAGTTGTTTGGTTGCTTTGTCTTTTCTTGCTCACAGCAGCAATTTTCTCGCATTTTCCTTCTTTATGGGCCCCGTTAAAGAGGTAATGTTTTCCTTATTTACGGACTGACACTTTCTCTAATGTAGTCCGTGGATGTCTGATGAGATTGAGGATTCAGTGAGCCAACCCGCCGCCGTTTTCTTTGTAAACTGTTGCGGCTTCCTCATTTTAAACATTTCACAAAACCTTACTTTTTCTGAGTGTGAGAATTCTTTTTAAAATTTCTAAAATCGGTAGCCATTTACTGCCACAAATGTTACACATAGAGGAACTGGACTGAATTGGTAAGAATAAAATAGAATAAAATAAGATAAAGTAAAATAACATACAAATATACCAGCAAGAATTTAACATGTTTTATTTAAAACATGTATGTAAAAATGCAGCACTATAAAGGGTCGATAAGCTGTAGCTATTATTATGGTCAGCAAATGTATAAAACCTTTTCAGAAAGGAAGGTACAGGTATGCTTAAAGCTCAGTGGGGCTTTACATGGGGACCGTGAGGATTTGAGCGTAATGCTAACATGTTTATCATATATTATTATATATTGTATTTACCACTTTTACAGTCTTGCATGATGTGGTCTGTTTTTCTAATATTCCTTCATTTATCTTATTTAAGCTGCATTTTTCCAAGTAAGTGCAAATGTAAAGTATATCAGCATTGCATGTTTTTTTTCTTTTCTTTTTTCAGGACGCTTCCCTTCTAGTGCACTCATCGGAAAATGTTTCGCTTAACGCCCGCAATGAAAATGGTGATGTCACGGGGAGGATCTCTGTGGGTAAGAGCCTGGAAGGGGACACATGTGCACACAGGAACACATGGAGCACTCATGCTTCACAAAGTATCCGCTTGATGTACGAGGGCAATAGTAAAGTCATTCATGCGCTTGTCCTGCAGCAATTCCTCATCCAACATTAATAGTGACGAGAAGCCGTCTTTCCATTTAGAATCTTTTCGATTTCCATTTAAAATCCATTAAACGCACAATTCCTCTCCCTGCCATGGCTTCTGGGTCGTTCTACATCACACACAGGGCCCAGAGGCCTGTGGAGGATCATATTTGTGTCTTTTATGGCTCGCCGGCGGCAGCGTTTGAGCCTTCCGTCATAATTAAAAGGCCAACAAATGACCCTAACTAATTCGGTGTTCCACAGTGCGGTAATGTATCCTTGATCATTAAGCTATAAAAAAAGCATAGTCTTCATAATCTCGACCCTGTGGATAAAAGCAAGGTGCTTGTTAGAGAAGAGAAGGCGCGGGTTCACAGTCTAAGGTGCTGAAGTGGGATAAATATTTCCTTGACTGATGTCTCTCATCGGGCCGTGAACATCAATGTGGCCTTTCAGTCTCAGCCGTGTTGTCGTTACTTGTTTGACACATTTTTAAATGTACACGTTTCCTTTCAGAAAGTGGTGGCTTACTCACCTCTTTTGTTCCGCTGCCTGTGAGGAGGTTCAGATCATCTCGTAGCGATGCCTGAATCTGCTTCACTGTATTCTCCCAGTTTGAGGAGGGAGATTGGATTTTGATTGAACCACTTCCAAACCCCTTCAGGTGTTCTTGCTGCTTTTTGTCGTTTGCAGGTCCAACGGAGGCTCAGGGACACACTCGAAATCTGCTCATTAACTCCCACAATGACAACATGCTGTTCACTGCAGATGGCGGCCAGACTGTGATTGGACCGGACAAACTACGAGTCACAGGTACACAAACGGCCGCCACCTGCTGCTTCCTCAGAAATATTGCACACAAAAAAAAAAACCTGACTGATGTGAACATAACAGGAGCCATCACTTATGAGGGTGGATATCTGTGCAAACACGCCAGCAAACATTTTTACAATCATTCATGTCATAATTTTAAAAGTATGGATGTGTTTGGATAAAGTGCTCTTCTATATAAAATAGGTGCTTATTTATCTACACACGAGCTTGCATTAATGCCACGTCGGTAAGATCAATCGCATTAAGATTGTAATCAACTATTTGTGCATCTACAACAAAAATGTAGATAGATATATTAGATATTAGATATATAGATATTTCTCAATAAAACAATTCTCACCCTTTTCCCTGATATTCATTTTAAAACATTTTTGACTTTTTTAAAAAACATTTTAAATGATGAATTTTTAATTTTTGGGGATTTCTTTTGGACCTAATTTTTAAAAACTTTTTTAATGAAATCCTATGAACTTATGTTTTTGACTTTTTTTTCAAAACATTTCTTGACGTAATATTTTTTTTAATTTTGGGGCTTTTTTACCCTGACATTTTTTAAAACTTCTTTTGTACATATAATAATAACTGCCGGAAGTATTTGGACTTTCTTTTCAACGATATTTTTTTTACATATTTCAACAAAAGATATCACACGTCTCAGGAGCACCACACATGTTATATTGCATAAAGAAAGGGGATGGGGGTGTGTGTGTGTGTGTGTGTGTGTGTGTGTGTGTGTGTGTGTTTTATGGATCACTGGCACACTGTGTAGCTTAATGTTGAAGGGCGTGTCAGCTGATTGCTAAATTATACCCAAGGCCGTGTGGGTTGACGGACAGAACACTGCTTCTTTCTTTTTTTTCCTCTTTTTTAAACTGCTTCACAAATTCAAGTAAAACAGAGTAAAAACTAGCCGCTCAAGCCTTGCTAGCAGCTCTGTTGGACATTGTATAATTTTATCACGCTGATCCAAATTAAGTGCACTCTTAACAATGTTTACTGCCTTAGTAATCAGAGCAAAACACAAAGTATGTTAAATATTCAGTGGTTTATATTTAACTAAAGGACAACAATATTCTGGCTGGTGGCACTAGAACTAAGGCCAGGGGTTCACTGAAGTCAGTGTTCATCCTCCGGGGACCATGAATAGATCCCAGCGCGCGTGGGGGATCACATCCTTTGGGTTCGGCTGCAATCGTGATAAAAAATGAAATGCTCTGCTTGAATGCTGCATATTAATGGCTCATTAAATGTTCATCTGTAGGACTTTTGTAGCTTTGAGTGTATTAAAAAGGTGTGTGTGTGTGTGTGTGTGTGTGCGCACATCCGACCCTCAGAGTGCCGTGGATTCTCTAACACACATTGTCACAAACCTTCTCTCTATCAGGTCCTGAAGGAGCCCTGTTCCAGCATTCAGTGGAGGTTCCCCTGCTGAAATCTGAACCCCTGAAGGACCTAAGGTGAGCCTGAAGATATTCAGAAGAGGGTCGAGTCCTTGCAGAGTTCCACACATCAGCGTCAGCCTGTGACTTCACCAGCCTTGAGGTCGTTGATGAGGGGAAAACGAAAGAGGATTTCGTTTTCATTAAAAAGCAAAGGGACGTATCCACGTAACGGATGGAGGCCGTACTTGTGATGCTGAACTCTTTCGTCTTAGGTTGGAGTCTCCTACTCGCTCTCTCACTGTGGAAGCCCCAAAAGGAGTTCATTTCAAAGCGCTGGCCGGGAACATCGAAGCCGCTTCCAACATGGATATCGTTCTGCAGTCTACTATAGGACTGGTAAGAAAAGCAATGTTCCTTACTATACCTTACTGTATGTTTGTTTTATTAGAGGAGATCTCCAACTCACTTCTTATCAGAGGCGCTGATTATGCCTTTTTGTCTGCTTTCTCTCAGTAAAGCAGTGCATTCACATAACAACACAGTTGCAGGGCATAACACACCCTCATCTCTCTTTTCCTGCTATAAGGAAGAAATTTCCTGCGTTAATCCGTACTGATCTGGTGCTGGATAATTCATGTGAATGTTCACATTCTCTGGTTTTCAGTATTTGTTTGTTTTTCTGCCACAGGAAAGTGGACTTTAATCACTATTCTCATAACTTCCTTATGGATCAGTGCACCCGTCTCATCTTCCAGCATGTTGTATCATTATGTGTGTGTGTGTGTATACAAATGCATTCGGTGGAGTGGAAAGGTTGAAGCGCGGTCGTATCTCTTTGTTGATTCAACACAACTCTCTGGTCTCTCCTCGCTCTCCGCGCCGGCGGCGGTGCAGCTGGTGCTGGATGCCGAGACGGTGCGCATGCCGAGCTTGCCCCAGAGCGGAGAAGGGGTTTCTGGAAATGCTCAGGGTCTCTACGAGGTGTGCGCTTGCCCCAGCGGAAAGCTCTTCCTGTCCAAGGCCGGGGTCACCTCCACGTGCGGCGAGGATCAGGATTGCTAGAATGAGCCTGAAGAGGTTTAGGATTTTCCATCCCTCAGTAGATGCATTGTCTCGGAGGCAAAAAGCACAACTGTTTATATTTTAAAATCTTTATACCACAGTGGGTCACTGACGTCACAGCTCAGATCCCACTGACACATTGAGGCCTGTAATAATACAAATGCCTGCTGGCGTACACGTAGGAGACGTCATGAAGTGCAGCCTTTTTGAGTTGCATTTGTGATCTTCTAAACCATTCAGCTGAAACGCATCGTTCCAAATTTATCAGCATCAGAGCTTTGTGAAGATTCTTTTACACGCACAGTATCATGGCTGGGCAATGAGGAGCTGGTAACAGCTTACATCCTATGCAATATTATCTTGTGGTGCAATAACTAAATTGACTCGTATCAAGGGCTTGGAATAAAACTAAATATCTGAAATCCAGATAGAATGTTATTTTGGTCGATACGACCCCTCTGGGTCCAAGCCCTCGGTATGAATTCTTTTTTAAATTTTCTTGGTGTTTAGCATGTTTTTAATTAATGGGGTACAAATGTTACAAAATGGTAAATATCTTGTCATTGTCGCTTTAAAGATTGATAAAAAAAAAGGTATTATCTTTTTCACATAAAACACACAGCACCAGACTTTTTGTTTCAACTCATTTTTTAAGGGTTGAAATCTAAATACTATTTTTAAGTGTTACTATTTTGGTATTAAGTGTGTGTAATTGTTGTGGGGTTTTTTTAGGTAATAAAATGGTGGATGTTTGGAGTTTGTATTTTTATGCCCCGCAGTGAGCTGGTGTGTTTGTTCAGGAACCTCCTTTACAACCAAGAGTCTGACAGAAAGAACATCACTCTTGACCATCTGAGCATGGAAGCAAAAACGACACGTTTCTAATAGAATAAACAGTCATCGGGAGGTTATGAGTAACGGCATTATTTCAGTTTTGGCTTTTGGGTTAAAAATGCATTGGTTAGCATTCATTCAACTGCAAGACTGCAGGTCATATCTCAGTTTTATCATTAGTTTTTCTAAGTAGATAATTAGCAGTTCTCACACATCTGGCATATTGTAATGGTATGTAATGTAATGTGTATTTATTTTTGTATGTTGAATAAACTTTGTGCTATTCAATGATGCATCTCTCAGCTATTTATTCTCAAACTTCTTTTTCTTCATACTGGTCTCGCGTTTTGTCTTCAACCTAATTAATAAAAAAAGACACTGAACATAATGTCCACTGACGCTATAATGTGGTGATGGAAATTGTTTTGATTATTTCCTAACATGTTAGTTGGCTCTCTGATGCACTCTTGTGGAAAAGCGCTGCCGAACCACCAGGAAGACGTAGGAACGCCATAATCAAATGAAGGCAAAAATATTTCTGTACTTTGTGGAACAAATGTTTTGAGACAACAAATGAACAAAAAAGGGTTGCAATGCATAGTATGCCTATTCAAAAGTGCCCAAATTGCTTAAATTATACACGCATAAAAATGTACCGTCTTTTATAAACATTAATAAAAATTGCGGACCCAATTCATTTAAGGGGAATTTATTTTGCCTTCCTGTGACAGTGTACATCAACTTGTTCTTCGCTGTTTATTCAAGGAGAAACACACCTGACGGAGGGAAAAAAATGCCACAAAGCACATTTTAAACTGTTTAGTGGTCTGTGTGTCGTCCTTCAAATCAACGCAAAAATCAGGCAAAAACACAGGAACAAACAATACTGCTGCTCTGTTAGCTGGAAACGTTTATAATGACTGAATGTATGAACTCTGTTCAATGCCTTTATTTTATCACTTTCCTACTGAGTATTCTCTGTAGAAAACTCCGCTAGTCATTTTAAACGTTGTGTTAGTATGAAAAGGTAATGATGCACAACAGGCACCACATGTTACTGTATAGAGCACAATATACATTTATTAGCTATTTAACAAAACAAGATAAATCACTATTGAAAAAAACAATTGCATTTAAAAGAGTTTTCACAGTTGGATTCTCAAGAGTTGCCGAGATCACACAAGTGTGCTACAGGTGCAAGTGAGAGAACATCGTTTAAAAAAAGAAAGAAATGCTTTATCCATTAACAATTGACTGGCTATCCCACAGAAAATCTAAATCTTTAACACAGAAATGATATGAAATTAACCATAATACAAAAAAAGATTTAAAAACGTGATTCTCTTGATGGGATCTTGCAACAAAGATCCATCGAATGACAGTTGCAGTAAGTCACATACAATTATAGCACATCCTTTCAGTACATTATGTTTTTTTGTGGCAAGAAAATATAGATTCATATTATTTTTTATTCTATAAAATAAAGTAAAAATGCAGCACATGTATTAATCAAACTCGCAGCAAATATCTGGGGACTTTGGTAGACAAAATGTATTTGTATGTACAGCAAAATGCAGATTTATTTGTACACATATTACAACAAATGCATATTGAGACAGCCGTAAAGGTTATGAAGATGCTCCGTATTGCACACCGCCATAGTGCCCTCTGTTCACCAGAGGATAGGTGCAAACTGTAGTTTCTTTGTCACTGATGACAGTATCATATTTTCTGCTGCACAAAGGTTTCAAGCTTTATGATAATCCGTGCAGTACATTCCATCACTCTCATTGCCACCTCAGATGTGTATCTGTCGTTGGGAATCTGTGGAAACGGCAGGAGGTCGGGATAGCGTGTTCTCAGGCTGTCCACCCCATATCCCTCCAGGATCTGAACATCTTTCGAAAGGCCTTTTAACTGGGGGTTGTACTCCTCCACTTTCTGAGCCAAAGCAGTGGGCTTCACGTCTTTGTCCGACTTCCCTCTGACTGCGTAGTCGGCAGCTATCAGTGCAAGTTTTGTGGCCAGGTAGCATTTGAAACAGACCCACTCGTTGGCATTTTTATGGAGATCATTCCGAGCAGCGGAGTAGTTTGCTCTCGCTTGTCTCAGCCATCTGCGTGCTTCCACCGGATTTCCAACCGTCTTGAAAGTGGGGGGCACAAAGAAACGGTGAGAATGTGACGAACCTGCGTAGCTAGTGTAATGTTCCCTGAACTGTTGCCTTTCTGACTTGTGATTTGTTGCTTCTTGGTTCCATGATGAATAAAATCTTTGATAAGAGAACTTTTCTGACTGAAAGCGGGACGACGACGTGGAGAACGATCTCCTGGAGGCTCTCTCTGTATTTTGCTGATCGGCCAAAGTCTGTTTCTCCATCCTGTTGATCTCGTTCTGTAAGTGCTTAAAGACTTCAGTGGCAATGTCCAGATTCTCTGCATTTTTGTCTGGATGCCACTTGAGATACAATCGGCGGATTATCTTCTTTCTCTCCGTCTCAGAAAGCTTCCACGCTTGCTCGACAACTAAGGTCACTTCTTTCAGAATCTCAGGCAATGTATGGAGCTTGATCTTCTTTGGGGACTGTTTTTGAGCGGGTGGTCGAAGGTTTTCCTTACCAGAAAAAGCAGCAGAGGCCATTCGCGGGCCAGATGAGCGACTGTTTGGGCTTGTAGGAGTTGATGGGGCACTGGTTTCTCGCACATGGTTGCTTTCATCTTGTCTTGAGAATTTGTACAAGTCGAGGGAACTCACTATTTTGTACTCGCTGTAGCCAATGTCAATCTGAAAGCATTTCCCAAGGAAACTTTTGTTTTCCTCCTCCTCCCTTTCTACTTCTTGAACAATGATGGCGTATGTATAGGTAGGCTGGTAGGATCCATATATGTCCCCACCCTCGGAGTCGACCAGGTAACCCACATACTCTCCTGGATAAAATACATTCATTGGATCCATGAGGAGTGTGTGATGTATCTCAGCTGGTATGGGGGTTCCGGGGAGCGGCAGCTCAAGTTTCGAAGGCTCCGTTGAGTCGTACTTAACCCCGAGGTTGTCCAGCTTCTCAGTGATTCTGTAGATGTCGTTGCAACCCAGCATGGCAATCAGATAGGACGTGTCAGAAATCAAATTGTCCGTGGCGGACTTCAAAGTCATCGCCAGTGCTAAGAGAAAATTAATGTCTTTGCTGTCTGAATGCTGGATGTAGAGGTGAATCACCGCTGTCCCGTACCTCTTGAGGAAGGCGAGTGTTTCGCTGCGGCTGTGTGGGATGGGGCTACATCCTTTCACTCTTAACGTTGTTTGGAGTTTCTCAAAGCAAGAAACTTTCAATCCTTCACAAAGGGCTTTGCAAAGGCGGATGGCCTTTTCCTCATTCACAAGGTATGCATTGTCATTCTCGTGTTTCATTATTCTGATCAGTCCCGTGATGAACTGCTCTGACGACAGCAGCAGCTGAAGACGGCCTTGAAGGGAGCAAAGAGCTCCAAACTGGCACATTCTTGGAGAATCCTCATCAAGTTGCTCTTCAAGAATGCTACTCAACAGTCTAGGCCTTAGTTTCTGTGGAAGTAGCATGATCAGCTTTGTGTGGAAGGCGTGGTCTTTGCCCAGATAGCATTGGCTCATGTCCACAAGCATCTGAACTCCAACGTTACCCTGAATTCTGCTTTTGTAGTGTGGGGCATCATCAAACACCAGGCTACTGGATTTCGCTAGTCTACCGTCATGACTTGGCATGTAAAATAACAAATCTTTGAGACTCTCGAGATCGTTGCGAATTGCCACGGGATCATTTTGGAGGGATTTGAACAATCCTGAAACAACCCTTTTCACAGTTCTCATTTCATTTGGATCAAGCTGCTTGCCATCTGAACTTTTGTAAATTCGCCACAGCACTTCAACATATTGTTTGGTTGAGACGACGTCTTCTGTACCGAGAAGTTTGAACAGTTGATGGAAAGTACCAAGTTCAAGAGGCAATTTGTACAAGTAGGGTTTGAAGTCAGATTCATTTTCCAAATTAATAACGACCTCTTCAGGTTTCAGCAATTTCCAGCCATCTTCCACCATGACAACAGCCACCCCACGGAGTTGGTAACGGAAATCTCTTTTATCTGCATTGAGAAACTCGTAGGTGGACCTTAGAACTTTGTTCCTTGTTTTCACCATTTCATCATCCGGATTGGATATGTTGCAGATATTTTTGCAGTTGCTGAGGACTTTCTCCAACGGTGGATCCAAGTTGACGCCTAACATGTTCAGCACATGGTCAAGTTGTTCCTGTCCAGTGAGAGTGTTCCCCTCCTGGTCCTTAATGCTTGATGGTGTAGCTTTCTCGGGTAGAATTGGGCAAGATGTCCAAAGCAAGTGAATGACATCTGTTTGCTTGAATTTTGGATTCACCTGAGACCCACTGAAACGAATCAGGGGAATTGTGCCACTCATCTCCTGGTACTGCGAATGAAGCTTGATGAGTTCATTGGGAGCTCTTTCGGGACACAGGAACGGAATCATTGAGAGCTCCTTGAGAAAAGTTCCCTCTAACAGGTCTGTTCTGTCATTAAAAATGTGGTTCAAAAGTACATCGACAATGGTTTGCACTTTTTCTTGGGACCAGCTCTCTGTTTGGGCTTTGATGCTAACCTCTTTTGCAAACTGAAGAACTTGCTGCTGTGACACTTTGTGCTTGAGACCGATATTTCTCAGAAAGGTTATCCATGAGGTGAGCAACAAGGTCCCATTCCTGGGTTTTGAAACCTGCTCGACTTTCTTAAAAAAGTCACTTTGAATGAATGACTTTGTAGGTAGCATAACTTTGAACACCTTCACTGTCTCATCATAGAAAAACTTGGTTGGCCTGAGTCTGTTTGAGTAGTCATAAATGAACAACAGTCCCTCCAATTTCTCATAGAGCTGATTCTTCATCTCACATGATTCCTCCATTGACAAAAGTCGCTCTTTCAAGTAGACAATGTGTTCAACTTTTGCATCATAGGAAAGACTCTCAAACTTTGGCAGGAGATATTGAAGGTAAATTTCCAAGTCATCAATTGGCACGCAGCCAAGGAAGGTGTACAGGTCTTTCAGCTGCTGATTGTCGGCGAGAAAGCCCAAAGGTGCTGTGTGAGCCCATTTATCGATGTCTGCAGTTGGGATGCTTTTTACAAGGACGTAGTTTGTACCATTGTTTGCAATGCTGATGTATCTCCCACTGACTGATTTAAAACATGGGAGGAGTTTTAGGCTCTGTGCATCCTGTTTTGTGAGGTTAGCTAGGTTGCAGTTGAAAT